GTCATTGCGTCGGATTGGAAAGAAGGCGCTAATTTTGGCGCCCTGATTTGACCCCTTAGTTTGCGAGATGACGTGATGGTCAATCCGGTTTTCTTTCACGTGTATATTCGAGAAAGGCGCGTCAGCAATGACTTCAGGTTGCTTGTAGTAGAGAAAGCGACATGTCCTTGGTGGTCCTTGACAACGCACGGTATTTGCGACTGAATGTTCGAACTAACAAGGAAAGTAACAACCTTCTGCTGACCCTTACCCTGCACATGGACAATAGCTGAACGAATACGAACTGCATCAAAGGAGTGAGAAAGGTAAGTGGAGAGATCTGCCTGTACTCCTCCATCTCTTGTAGTGAGAGTGCCATCATCTTCAATTTGATAGGCTTCGTAGTTCGTACTCCCTACAGTTTGGAGTTCGACATACCATGAGTCTTGACTTTGACCGGGTTCAAATTTGCATTGGAAACACCCTTCTTCCCTTCCAAAAGGGAGTATGATGTCTGCGTGAAAGATGGCCTGCCTGAAAGCCTCAAGTGTAGCTCCTGCCGTGTAGAGAACCAAAATGGATCTTTTCTGAAAGTGATAATGAATATCCATAGATATAAGGATCTCTTGTATTTTGCTGAAAGCAAGGCTTTGAGGTTGCTTGGAGTACCGCCGACAGTCCAGGAAAGTGACGTACCGATGCTGGAAAAAACTCGAACCAATACTCTTGCTACCTACCCAAATAAGGGGAATGATTATTTGAAGTTCTTGCTTTTCAAGGCCATCAATTTGTCTCTTGAGGAGTTGGAAAACTTGTTCAAGATTGCTAGAAACATCTTCAAATTTGGATTGCGAAATACAGAAGGAGACACAGCATCTATCAGTGACTCCAAGCGTTGTTTGAACTGGGACAACATTCGTGTGTAGTCGGAATCTGAAGACTTCCGGAATTGATTTGATCTCTTCATGAGCTTTTGGGGTGAGCACCGCACTATTGCGCAACCAAGTCTCGGAGTATTCAATGCACGGCGAAATGACTTCAATACTTCCTGTCGTGAAGGAAGAATGTATAACTATGTAATAGATGCTTTTGGTGATCTTCTTCTTGTTTCCATCTGGCGAGTAGACAAAATCCTGGTATTTGGAGATGCTATGCACTCGGGAGAGATGTCTGCGAAGTGTGATACAAACTGCAGTGACCAAATCAACGCTTGTAGCGTTGACAAAGCATTCGTGAAAAAGACAGACACACGAGAGCTTCTCAGCTTCATGGTACAACTGCAAAATGTTCTCTTGAAAGTGTGCTTGCACCTGAAATAAGACCACTGAAATTCGTTGAGTGCCTGCCAGGGCAGACAGTAGAATTTCCATCTCATCTTCACTGACTACTTTCAGGTCCTCATGATTGTGCAGGGTATTAATTACACTAGGAAAGCGGCAAACGAGAAAGATTTTATGTGACGTGACCATGGACTGTTCAAAGTGTCGTTTGAGTATTCCTTCTTCATTAAACACAAAAATAAATCATCGTAGATGGCCTGAGCAATAAGGCAAAAAGCTTCCTTGTCCGACATGTCAATACTGCTTACGAATGAGCCGAAGACAGTAACTTGGGTTACTGCTCCAGCAAAGCGTAGGTGCAAAGGGTTCGAAAGCAGCGACCGAAACAGTATCTTGGGATACCGTTAAGGCAGAATGTCAGGTGAAGCGCAGGCTACTAAGCAGCTAAGAGGGGTTCAAATCACTCTACCGAGGAAGTCTCTTCTCTTCAAGAGAAACCCTTGATCCTCCTGCCCATCTATTAGATGGGTTTGAACCGAAAAGCTTGAGCCAAAGGGCTACGGAATCAGCGCCAGACTTCGGCTGGTATCGCTTGGAGCAGCCTACACTGCACCTTCGGCCGGGATCTGTGCTGTTGTGCAGCATTCTCCTGACTGTTGCCCTTCTGGGATGACCAGCCATTCCGGTGTTTGGGAGGCATCTAGAGCATACCCATAAACGAGCCCGTGCGCAGCCGTTCGTCCAGGGAGGTAGGGCCCATCCTGCAGGCTAGATGCTTCAGCTGTCAAGAGGTGGGATTGAGTGGCTAAGACAAGACGTAAGCGCCTCTAAGCAGACAGGGAGAGCCAACCCATAAAAGCGGCAGTGGCTTTTCTCACCTGGATTGCCGTGAGGTCAAGGGAGCCGTAGACAGTTCATCAGTGTGTATAGTTTGCACTCCATGCAGGAGGGCAGCCAGCGCCTGCACAGCGCCTGGCATTCCTTGCATATTGAGTGGGCACGCAAGGATGGTGAGGTTGGTAGCGTGGCTATATGCAACATTAGCACGTGTAAAACATTCTTGATCGAAGTCGGTATTTTGCCCAGCACCACTGAGGAAAGTGGACTGTCCATGAATGACTATGCAGTGTTTGGCTGTGGCTCCTGCTACTTTGACTGACGTTTCAGCATTAGCTTTCTCCCCAGTGATGTCAAAGTAGTTGCGTAGGTTTTGGGCACCCTCGCGAGTAGTCGTGAGGGCAAGAATGGCGTCGTTGCCCGCTCCTGCCCGACAAAGTTCATCTTCGAGATGTTGATACACACGAACGGTAGGATTATTTTGGGGGTCTTTACGTGCATCCACGTTATCCGAGGCATGACGCCAATGGACGAAGCGGAGTCCTGAACCAACTAGTTGATCTTCTCGGATCGAGGCTGTGCCTATTTGCCATGTGTCTCCCAGCCGGCTGCAAAGCATGGGGTACTGTTGTAAACTTCCTGGGCAACCCTCGCACTAGTTGGTAGCATGAGGCTCCATCGGTGTTGACCGGCTACTCCCGATCTTTCTGCTGCACTCTGCGCTAGGTGGAACTAGCGGCTTTTGGCTGACTGCGTCAGCTGCTTGCTCCAGGTCATCTTGGCGAAAGCCTTGACTGTGGTGAAGTAGCGCGTGAAACACTCCAGGAACCTCATGTGGCATGTGCCAGGCATGCGGGGCTCGCAGTCCTATTGGGGCCTTGAGAAGAAGCGTACGATGAGCTCTCTGATCATCTGCCACTCCGCCCGGGCTTTGTTTGGGATCACCTAGCTTGGTCTGAAGAACGGTTGCCGGGGGACCGCCGGGGCAAAAGCTGACTTCAGATCCATGTCTTGCTGGGCTTCTTCGCTGATGAGGAAGTCAACATTCTCCATATGTGTGTTGAGCGTCGAATGTGCCTGTCCTTTTTGGTCCCAGACCAGCCCCGTGGTGACAATGACAACACGACTGCCTGGAATATATGAGGTTGCATGACTAGCTTGTAGGTCATAGACTGTGCTGGCGGTATTGGCCTCGGCTTCCTCCCTGCCTACCGGTCGAATGAAGTATCGTTGATGGTCAGGCTCCAGCTCGAACGTGGTAAGCAGTTTCGTGATGGCTCGGCCAGCTGGGTTTTCTTGACGCACGACTGCAATTTTGAGATGGGTGGTGAGGGCTAACCATGCGAGCAGAAACGTGAGGGATCGTGTCTTGCCTGCACCAAAAACACCTGCTACTGCAAGGATCTACCTGATCGCAGGGCGAACGCTAGGCTGGAGGCAAGTGAGGCAATGTGCCCGTTATCATGACGAGCCGCCGTGCCAAGGGCCTTAGCGAAAGTAGCCGCCTGCGGACAATACGTAAGCGTATCACCCGTGGCCAGCAGCCGAAACAAAGCATGCAAACTCTGGAGTAGGACAATCGTGCACTCGAGGTGGTACGGAATGGGCACGTGACCCGGAATGCCCAGGACGGTGGGTTTATGCTCGGGTGTTAAGGTGGCCATTTGAATTAGGTGATCAGCCGCAACCGTGCCCCCTACTTCCGCAATGGCAACAACTCGAAACTTGGTCGGATTGGATTCTAAGATGCGGAGGCTAGGCGGGAAGCTCCAGCTGATAGGGCATGCCAGGCCAGTCTCGGCTTGGGTAGGCAGGGGCGCAAAGTCCTCAGGGAAGGGGACTAAGGCGACGTTTCAGGCTCGTGGGCTGCTCATTCGCCGGACTTTGTCATATGTCGATTCGTCACCTTTTTGGTTGGATTTCTTTCCGGCTGCGTTGTGAAGGCAAGCAGGAGCGCAAGGACTGAAAAGCAACTGTCTCCTTCTAGCAGAACCACTCTAAAGGCCTTCTCTACCTGGCAGCCCATGTGCACTTCATTTGAGGAGCTGTTCGCCAACTGCTCAAAGTCGTAGTGGTGGAGGTGGGCTGGGCAGAAGACTGCAGCTTGCGACCACGGGGGAAAAACAACGCGATATTCGCGCATTCCCTGCAAGCCAGCTGCTGTGGGTGTTATGTCGACCTGGAGGCCGTGCTTTTGGACAGTCGGGCTGGCCCAGAGGCTTTTCTGCGTGCTCGCTCCATCGAGGAACGGGAGTTGCGGAAGGAAGAGGGCCAGAATAACAAATACTTCTCTAAACGGGATTGGCGCAAGCAGATTCTTGGCCATGTCGGTAGGCCATTTTGCACAGGCACTCTGATTGTCTTTGCCTACTCTGAAGTTGCGTAGCAGTAGCGCCTGCGCTTCTTCCATGGAGGCTATTTTCTGACCAGCGACACACAGCTGGAGAAGCCGGAGGAGTTCATGATCCGGTTGGTGAAGATTTGACACAAAAGAAACTTTCTTATAAAGTAGGTGTTTGTTTTTGTTCAGTGGGTGTCCAAAGTTTGCCTGGGGAGTGGTCACAGCAGTCCAATTTCATGTTGTCTCATCTTCAGATTACCAGATCTTGATGAAACTTCAAAAGCAAGCCTGGGGTTTGGCAATCGCAATACACTTTAAAACACCTGGAGGTTTTTGACTTCTGCTCTTTAATTTGGAAGAGGTCTCAGGCAAAATACAAAGTCCTCTTAAAGCAAGGACCATGACCACCGGTTGGCAATCTTTTTGTTAGTTAATAGATTCACAGCTTGACAAAGACACATTGCGATTTCACAGCGTCAACATTACAACTTCATGCTGCTTGGCCTGCCGCAGCATTGTTTTGGTGACCCAAATTGACCGCCAAGTTGCACCCCGCAGCTGCCATGTTCATCGCCTTCAAGGAGAAGCTGGACCAGTGGCCGAATCAAGCCATGCGAGCATGGATCGGGGCCCACCACTTGGAAGTGGTAAAAGAGACTTGCATTCAGGTGAAAAAGATTGTTTCCTGCCAGAAACAATACCAGATCTTGGACCAGGTTGAGATGTTGATGTGCTTTGGCAGGAGCTGCTGCTGTGAAGCTGATGGTCCGGTGCCGCTGCCATCAGATGATGCTTTGAAGCCGAGAAAGGATGGGCCCACAATCCTCTGCCAGCCCCGTGAAAGCGTCCGAGACAAAATTTCGAAGTACACAGCCCAACGGTTGACTGTGTTTTTTGGCGATGTGGAAGCTGCCATGTCTGTCATTGACACCGGCTTGCTGGGAGACAATGGCCTATTCAGGTGCCATCCTGAGATCAGGTCCCTCTTGCAACAATGTTCGGTGATCTTGCAAGACCACCGGGACATCTTGTGCGGCGTGATGAGCGGCAAATCTTTTGGTGGCACCATGTCCCTGGACGAAGCATTTGTTGCATGAGAGGACTATTGGCCATGACATTGACATTGAGCAGGCCCGGCTTTTGTTGGTATGAAAAGCCGAGGTGCGTTCTACCCAGGTTTCCGGCAAGCTTGCTTGCTGGAGACTCAGGACAGCTTGCTGTTCTTCACAGTGATTACCAGATTCTTAACAATTTGTCGATTCGTTTCAGTTTCCTGCTCTTCATCAATTCGATGTGCCTCATATTTGCAGTGTTTTGGTCATCAAGCTTTTTTGCGCCGCGCATCTGTATCATCATGGCTTGCTCTAAGATCTCTAAGAAAAGCAGCAGCACCAAAGCACAGCCAACAGACCTGTCAACTTTGATAGTGAAGCGAGTCAGGCTGCCCGGCATTCAATATGACGAGGTTACGCCCGAAGACTTCCCGGAGTACTTGGTGGCCCGCTCCGAGAAAGGAGCGCGCGACATGATGAGCTTCATTTGGTACTCGGCAGTGTTGGAGAGCGGAGACTGCGTCGTGCTGACAAACAAAGGCCCGCGCAAACAACAAGCGCTTCTTGTCCCTGCTTTCAATGGTTTGACATCATGATTCCATGTAAGATTTGGTTGTCATCATTATGTTTGACTGAGTGACTTAGGTTGCTCCTACAGAACTTTTTGATCTTCAACGAGGACAAAGATTGGAACTACATGATCCAGCCTTTTACTGCTAGAGTTGCAGACCCTGATGATCGCAAGGCGCCAACTCAGCTCATTTCAATTTTGTATCTTAAACCATCCAGGCCAGGTTTCGGCTCGGGGAGACATAAGCTAGGCTAATTAATGTGTGCGGCGTCCATTTTTTTCAATCATATTGCGTCGTGAGAGTTTATTGTTTGCAATGGGTAATAGTCAATGTATTGTGTTTTACTGCGGCAGGTCCATGTCATGATCCCCGGCAGCGATGTTTGCGTGGATGAGCTGAAGATCATTTGCGACGGCTCCAAGACCAAGGACTGCCCATGCGAGTACATGACCGACCCAAATCCGCAGATCAAGTTGTGCCCCGAGAAGTTTCACCTCTTGGTGTTGTATGGCAACAAGCGCCGTATGTGACAGATCATCAGCAGCGACTTTGGCTACAAGAGCCACGATTTTGATATGCCTTGGAGGTTGGCATGTTACGTGATGTTTTGGAAGAAAAACGACAGGCAGCTTGCTGACTGTCACAATTCAGGTCAGCTTGCTGGCCCATTTTCCCTCATTCAGTGAGACACCAAATCAAAGCAGCGCCACACTTGACAACCAGTGATCTTGTGACGATCTGTTTATTCGCTATGTGCCTTACTTCTGATGTGGCTGCAAGAGACTGTTAGTATTTGGTAGGTTTAGATTAGGCCCTTCGCTTTCACAATGAGCGCCTGCGACCGGTATGTGATCAAGAAACTTGTCTTGCCTGGCAGGAAACATGTGTCTGACATAGTGGACGCCGATTTTCTGGACACACAGCTGGGACAAAGACCAGAGGATGTATTCTTTGTCCGCTTCAGCAAATGTCAAGTGGTGGATGAGAACAGCCTGAAATTCACACTGGAGCAAGGCCAAGACACACATTATGTGCCCCTCAGCTCATTTCAATTTTGTTTCCTCAGCATTCTCAGCATGCTGTCACCTCAATATCGATGTTTTGTTTCTAAAAATTAAGTCCAAGGATGTTGATCAAGCACTATGTTGTGATCGACCACCACGAAGACTTCGCAGTTCACCCACAGTATACCAGCCATGTTTCTTGGATTGCGTTTTTTATGTGGTTTCTCTCCTCGGTTTCCTTTTTTTGGCGCTTGTGGAATGTTCTGGAATCATTTGCCTCTGTCATTCAGGTGCACTTGTGCACTCACAGCACCACAGTCCACCTCGAGGAGCTGATTGTCAAGCGCGTTTGGTCACTGAATTCATCTTCAGCCCCAGTGTTTCGCGAGCCTAATGTGCTTGAAGTCTCTTCCGAAAAGCGCGCGAATCTTCGAAGGTTCGTTACAGTTTAGAAATTTGTGACCATGATTCGATCTGGCGCAATGGCCTTGAAAAGTTTTGCGCAGTCAAAACAATTCAGAGCCTGGCAAGCCAGCTTGCTGGTAAGCCACATGGGCCAGCTTGCTGGAGTCTTACTACAATAAATAAATATCGCTGTCCGAACTAAGTTCAGTGTCAAGGGCTGAGATTTTCCGAAAGACTTTGCAATCAAAATAGCAATTTGACACGGTTCATGTTTTCCATTGTTTCTAACAGAGACAATCACAGTGACATTTTCATCGCGCATACCAACATCCAATCCAGCCAACATGGATGCCGGTCCCCTCCAAGAGGGCGAAGCCAGTGACTCCGACATCAGTCTGCCGGATTCTGTTAGGTCCGATGATGGGCCACCAGATGAAGACGAATGGTCTCTCCCTCCAGACGTCTGCGAAGATGATCACGCTCCAGATGCTTGCTGCAAAAAAAGAAATTGCAAAAGCAAATTTCAAGAGAGCGAGCTGCAAGCATATGAATTGCAATTTGCGAATTGCAGCCAAGAACTGCGACTCAAAAAGGTCTATGAGCAAGTTCGAGAAGTATTCAAAGCAGGAGGATCTGACCCCAAGAAGTTGATGCCCTGGTCTGTCTTGGGACAGCCGGTTTGCAGGCGTTTCTTCGAAGGCCTTCATGGAATTGGGCACGGGTCTTTGGACAAGTTAGTGAATCTGGCCAAAAATGGCCATGTGGGTGTGCCAACCCGAGGCCCCCGTTTGAAGCGAGAGGCCCCAGCTTTGGCTACTGTGGACACGTGGTTTGTCTCCATCTACAGAGATCTGGCTGAGCCCCTTGCCTTACCAGGGTCTGGGAATTTAGCAGAAAGCGATGGTCCTGATCCTGGTGCTTCTTCAAAAGATTCTGACATGGTGGAGCACGAGATAGTCGCAGCCGATCATCCTTTGGCAGCTCTGAGTCTCAATCTCAGGCAGTCCAACGCAGATGCTGATCCACATGGACGTGTTTATGTTCCGAAGAGATACTTGAATTTTGGCAGCGAACAACAAATTTGGAACTTCTACCAAGAAGATGAAGATGTTGCACATCAGATCTCCAGAAGTACTTTCCGGAAGGCTTGGGAGAAATGGCGCAGATTTTTGCCTCTGAAAAATTCTGGCGAAGGCAGTAAATGCAACGCATGTGCCTCTTTAACTTTGCAGCGCTCAGAAGCCACTGAGCCATCAGAACGTGTTCGAATAGATGGCCTCAAGCAAGCCCATCTGCAAACAGTGATGGCCGACCGCAACTTCAGTGTAAGGTGCAACAAGGCAGCCTCCCGCCCAGATGTCTGGCAGACAGCAAAGAATCAAAGTCTCTTTTGCAAGTTGGAAATAGATGGGATGGACCAATCAAAATTTTCCATCCCCCGCATGAAGCAGATGGCAGGGACATCTAGTTACTCTAAGTGCTGGCGACCGGCTGTTCACGTGACAGTGGCTTTGCTGTTTGGCCAAATCGAATACTATGCTGTTATGAGGCCAGATCTGGCCAAGGACTCGAACATGAACGCTACCATCACATGCCGGGTGTTAGATTTGATGCAAGAGAAATTGGATGCCCTTGGCGCTGGACATAGCTTCCCCGGCGAGCTGGTCGTCATGTGCGATAACACACCACGAGAAGCTAAGAACAGCCATTTTGGCTGCTTTCTTTCTTCCCTGGTTGGGAGATCTCTCTTTTCTGCCACAGAGGTCCACTTTCTACAAGTGGACCACACACATAATGAGTTGGACCAGCGATTTTCAACACTTGCATCCCACATCAAGCAAGCTGATGTCATTGAAGACATTGCAGATTTGGTCCTATACTTGCAAACTCACGTCACTGCAGCAGCCAACCGCACTCTGATCGTTGAGGAGTTGAATTCTACAATGGACTTCAAAAAGTATCTCAGCAGTGTGAACTTACACCTGTCGGGCCTGACATCAACGCACATGAAGCCCAATGCTAACCACATGTGGCGCTTTGCCCACAGGTTGTCCATTGACGAATCCCACTATGGAGCCATTGAATGCCATCACCAAGACTGGACAGGATTGCAACAGCATCCTTCGGATGTTGTTTTGATTGTCAAGCAATTTTTGTCTTCCCCGTCCCATTCCCAAGCACCTCAAGTCGTTCTTCCCTTGGAAATTGCAGAAGGCTTGACGGGCAAACTGGAAGCAGCTCCCAGAAACAAATTCGCTGAGACCACCCTGACCGAGTTCCGCAAAAGCGCAATGACCTTCGGCAATCAGCCGTGGAACTTGTTGAAGGCCAAATACTTTTTGGAAGAGCTGTGCGATTTGAATGAGAAGGAAGAGCTTCCACCATGTGTGGACCTGAAGTTCTTTTTTTCTGCCGAACCATGCCAAGTTCTCGTGCCACAAGCAGCAGATCGACTCTTGCCTGAAGATGGAGAAGATGATCAGAAGGACGAGTCCGCCGAGCCTCGTCGTGTGATTGCTGGCCGTCGTGGGGCTGGTAAAGCTAAGGCGGCGAAGGCCAAAGCAAAACCAAAAGTCAAAGCTGCAGTCAAGATGGCCGCAGTGCGCAAACGTCCTGCAGCAGCAGTTGCTGTTAGTGCTGATGCTGCTGAGTCAGAGGCTGGGGCCCCAGTCCGGAAGCGTCCCTCAAGTTCAAGCCGAGACAGGCTTGATGCTGCTGTTGCTGCAGAATTGCCTGAAGACTTTTATTTTGGGTGCTCGAAATGCCGCCACAGTGAGAATGGCTGTGCTGAGTGCCAGAACAAAGCAGATGCCTCCAGGAGTGGATGGAAGCGCCTTTCCAATGGCATGGTGATCCGTGCTCTCCCAAGTGCCTGACTGTTGGATTGTTTCACTGTGCCTCCAGATTTTGCAAAAGGCTTCACCCAACGCATGACTGTAGTCAGCTTGCTGGCTACACTTTGTGACAGTCAGCTTGCTGACTTTTGTTTTCGCAATCGTCGCACACTGTGCTTCTGAACATTGATGATATTCATTCAAACCCGGCTTATCAGTTTCACAGTCACAAATAATACTAAATTTATCTTTTATATTATCTATAAAATGTCACCATTATTTGCACAGTGTGAACTTTGAACTGTAGCTAATGATTTTTCATTGCGTTGCATTTGCATAGCTTTAATATTAGGAGCAAGTGAACAAAGACTATCTTAACTTTGTTGCAAGAGATCTTGATCAGAATTGATGGCGTCCGATTCCGGATCAGATGTGGTCTTTTCTGACGCTGAGCATGACTCTGATGTGAGTTTGCCTTCTGACATCGCGCAAAGCGATGCTGGGCCCGCCGAAGAAAACGATGTGATAGAAGGTTTGTCTGGCCCCAACTTACCATCAGACGTTGACTCTGACGGCTTTTGGTTTTCGCCAAGTGAGGATGGGTTCGGCTCTGAGCCCACAGCTTCAGAGTCAGTGCCTTCAGTGAAAGAATTCCATTTGAAAGGAATGTCGCTCTTCAATTTTGCAGCAATGGAAATCTATTCTCCTCCGCGCGTTTTGCCCATGATTGATCGCTGCCCGCGCCGGATGTCTCTGGATATTCTTACAGGCTGGAATTTGTTGGACGCTTCAGTGAAGCAAACTGTGATCAAGATGTGGGAAACGCAAGAAGTGAAGATGCTCCTGCTTTCTCCTCCCTGCACCATTTTTAGTCCTCTGCAAGTTTGCTTTCGGAATTACGAGAAAATGGATCCCGAAACTTTGAAGAAAAAATGGGCAGAAGGACTGCACCATCTTGATTTCAGTGCCATGGGCATTCGAAATCAGTTGCAGAAAGGGCTTAAATTTATGTTGGAACATCCACAGCGAGCCTCCTCCTGGGAGCACCCTCCCATAGCAGAGATCCGAGGTCGCCCAGATGTTTACTGCGCTGATTTTGATCAATGCATGCTCGATTTGAGAGCCCCCAACAATTTGCATATGAAGAAGAGGACACGCATCATGACCAACTGCCATTGGTTAGCTTCCACATTGAGACAATATCAGTGTGATCGGAGCCACATTCATCAACCGATCGAGGGTAGCATGGCGGGCCATAGCTTGTCTTGGTGGGCGCAGCATTACCCACCAGATCTTTGCCGCATTTTAGCTGAGAGCGCTCAGCGATTGCTGTGAAAAGCTGAGGCCAGGCCAAGTGCGTTGATTTGGAACCATTTTCCCGCTAAATATGTTTCAATCATTACTATTTTCAATTGAAAATTTTCAAGATCCGACGGATTTTTTCCAAATCCCGCGATGTCAGACTTGGGTTTTGCCCCCCCCAAGATCCGAAGATTTCAAATGAAATCCCGCGATATCAGGGGTAAAAGTCTGAATGCTGCGAAGTCAGGGTTGGATTTTGACCTCCCCTAGATCCGGAGATTTTCACTTACACCCAGGATATCCGAGGATTTCAAATGAAATCCCGCGATCTCAGGGTTGGATTTTGCCCCCCCCAAGATCCGAAGATTTTAAAACATAAAAATAAAAAAAATCCCCGGATATCCGAAGATTTCAAATGAAATCCTGCGATCTCCCTGTGTCCCAGGCTTGCTCCGAGAAAAAGATCCGACGATTTCGGGCCAGACAAAAGATCCGACGATTTCGGGCCAGACAAAAGATCCGACGATTTCAGATTCCAGACAAGATCCGACGATTTTATCAGTTCTGAGCCAAAAAACAAATTGCTGCCATTTTGCCTGTGAGTCACTTGTCAGAGCTTGATTTCTGATTCTGACTTGCCCTTTTATTTCCAGCCATTCATTGATTTGGGGCGCAGATTCATCGGAATGGGCCCACTGACTGTCAGGCTCATCCGTTGTTTTTAACTCGGGCATGTTCGGGCTCAAGAAGCAGCGGCTAGTTGTGCATTCGAAAGCCATTAACTACAAATGGCTATGATGGCTCAGGACCCAAACCTTGGCCAGAGTCCGGCGACCCCTTTTTCTGCTGCTGCTGATTCAGCAGCGGGATGGCTTGCAAGTCCGGCAACCCCCGCTGCCTCTTCAGTAGCGGGATTGCTGACAGGCTCCATGGAGCCGGCTGAAACTCCGAGCGCTGCGATTACACAGTTGGAGCACAGTTGTGAGAAAGCTTTGCAGCAGTTCTGCGGCCCTCAGCAGTACCTGATCGCCAATCTCAGCAGCCACGATGCAGTGGAAAACTTCAGTGAGTGGCTTCGGGTAACTTTCCCGGAAGCAGATGACTGTCTCTACTCAGACAAGCCACTGTCCAAGGTTTCAGGGCAGAACCCAGATTTTGCCTGCCAAATTCCTTTGTGTCTCCACGTGTCCATGCTGGGCTTCACAAGCGCGTGCACGCTCAAGCCGCCACCAGGCAGTGAGCACTGTAATAACTTGATCCAGGAATTCTTGAAGGATGGCTTCCTGACAGCGTCTGACCCCCTCTTAGTCATGGAGCACGACCCAGACTGTGCGCCCTTTGATGTGCCCATGCACCCTTCGCAAAAAGCTCGGGCGTTTTCCCTCGCCTACCTCAAAGGCTATGCCCGTTCGTGTACCTTGCTGTTTGTTTTGCACAGGATCAAGTCTTTGGGCCTGGACTTAGCTGAAGATGAAAGTTTGAAGCCTCTGATGGGCTCAGTGGTGAAGATTTGGGCCCACTGCGTCCATCACCCGTCTCGGATGGACGAGGCTTTGCAGAACATGAAGCTGTCTGCCCGAGGCAGCTTGCGCCACGCCAACAATCTTATTCAGTGCTGCTTCATCATCAGAAATTTGCGAGGCAAATGTGGGCTCAGTGATTCCTCTGTCTTTGTGAAGAGATGGAATTCGATGTCCACGAAACAGTTTCAGATCACAGGGAAGAGAGCCACCGCCCTGAAGTTCCTCCTGGATCAAACGCCGGAACATGTCCTCTCATTGGTTCTTGATCATGTCAATGACTTTGGTTGGGACAAGAACCTTTGGAGCGATGATTCTTTGGCAGTCAAGAAAATGTATCCAAATTTCCAGTTTGCCTGCGCGAAGAAGTCATGGCTTCCCCGTATGAAGACAACAGAGGAATCCATGGAGCTTTGCATCAAGCATCTTCAGAACGGCTTCGTTGCGAAGTCCTTATACTTGCGCAGGAAAGTGGATGCCCAGACTGTTGAGGAAACATCGCAGCGCGCAGCTGTAGTATGGCACCTTGGACAAGAATTGCTTTCGCAAATTCCCATCGACCCAGCCAAGATCAAGGAAGTGTGGTACGACAGCTTTGCAGCAGGAGATGGCCCAGTCGATGCGGAGATCCAGGGGATTCTCATGGATAAGTCTGAAAACTTTGATCTTCGCCGGGACAGCCCAACCCTGAAGAAGTTGTGTGACCAGCAAAGCTTTGCAAAGCCTGTCTGCGCCAGTGCAATTGAGGAAGCAACCTTGCAAGTTGACAAATTTGCATTGGTCATGAAACAGCTGCAGTATGACTTGCAAGTCTATGAAACTTGGTCGCGCAAGACTGCCAGTGTGAAGAGCGCCCAGGAGCATCAGCGCCACCTTTGGATGCTGCAGCGCCGCAAGAGATGTGAAGCAGCTGCCCAAACTTTCCTCAGCCGATCTCTGAAGCTTGTTGTTTGGGACAAGCGCCGGGCTGAACAGTCCATTGCAGAGTGCATGAACTTCAAGAGAGAAGTTTGCCAACAGCAAGGCATTTCCCCTGATGACATGTACACTTTGCTGTACTGGAACTGCAGCGCTCCGTGCCTGATGCCTTCAGCGTCTTACAACAATGCCACCAATGTGGTGGCCTGGGCTTTGAATGACCAGATGAGAAGCACAGCTCTGATCCTCACGCGGACTTTCAGCTACAGCAAAGGAAAGGTTTTTCTGGAAGAGCAGAATCTGCTCCAGAAGCTGTCAGCAGGGAATCACATCTTGGATTGGCAGTTCCACCTCCTCTTCAGCAACAAGCCAGATGCCAGGGATCTCAGACCAATGGTCTATCCAGGCAGATTCGTGTTTCCCTCTTGGTTCCAATGCGATCTGAGAAAGGATCAAAGGACTCCAGAAGTGAAACAGATGCCAGCCAAAGAAATGCGTGAAGTCGAGTCTGTGTGCGAGGACGATGTGCCAAACTCCGTGGATGCCTGAGACGGAGTTACGGGAGCCGCCAAGTATTGGCAAGTTGGCACCAATGCTTGCCACTGTCTGTTGACCAGCGCGCTCACTGGACTGACGCCAGAACCCCAGGGAATTTTGGTGATGGACCTCTTTGTTCGCAATGGAGATTTCACAGAGGCGTTCTGCCAGGTGAAGAGTGGCAGATCCAACATTCACTACCTGGGCTTCTGTGAATCCCAGGATGAGATCATGTATGTGGAGGCCTACTTGAAGGAGACCTTGGCACAGTCCTACGAGAATGGCCAGCCCACGCCCACAGGTGAGAAAATCGAGCAAGACATGAGCGAGGACTTGAAAGAGAAGCCGCCTCCTCACCCAAGACTGAACTTGCTGGTACTTTGGCGGCGTTTAATCTGCAATCATTTGTCTTTTTTTTGAAAGGCATGGGTCAAAGAATGGCTCAAAGGTTCTATAAGACTAAATACATCAATCAGTCCTCTGCAGATTCTTCGATTTGTTTTCAAGCTTCGGCGACATTTTGTCAAACGCCGTCGTTTTGTTAGGCCGTCCATGAGTTAGCGCCATGGAAAATGAGATAGTATTATACATTTTTTACAGTTTCATATTATATACTTGCATATTGGAGGATCTGCCCTACTATGTCTAAACGTTCGGGTTGTATAATCATCAGCTGGTGGAAAAGTTTTGTCCCACTGCCTCCCGAATCGATTCTGCATGTCAGGTGTTGAAGAATGAAGAGCTTGGTCTGCCTGTGCAAGTGATCCGGGAATGGCAAGACCATGCGACTTGCGGACCTGAGTTTCGGAAATGGCTGGAAGGTTTCCAAGCGAAACACAAAGTCATTGATGATCGAGCTGAGCAAAATGAGACTGACCCACAAGGACAGTCTTCTGATGGCAAGAGAGCCAATGGAGGCCAAGTTGGCCCCTCTCCAAAGAAGGCTCGCACTGATGTTCCAGCCCTGGAGCCTAGCAGAATTATCGAAAGCTCGAAGATCACCAGCGCTCTGATCAACGAATACAGCTTGCCGGTAGGTAAGGATGTGGCAGTATCTTTTCACATGCGAGCAGAGAACCAAATGTTTTTGGTGAACAAAGGCTCCAAGACATGGAGTGCATCTGACCCTGCCATTCTTCATTTTGGAAACGGCTCATGGAAAGTCCTCAAGGCAAATCAAGATTTGCCGGACGGGGCTGTGGAACTGAAGTTCGCTAGCTGCGATGACAAGATCTTGCTCAATGGCGCCGTGCAAACTTTGGGGCAGGTAATGGCCGACATGCGTCAGAAGAAGCCCGACGCCAAGATTGCCTACCACCAGATCCAAGAGACGGATGACATCAAGCAGTTCAGTTTGACCACCACGCACCGTGTGGTTTTCGTGTGCAAGACCGAAGGATCCGAGTGGTCTTCCAAGAATGTGGCATCCAAAGTGTGGAAAGCCGGTATGGACGGTGGCCCCCTCAAGCTCATCTGGTACATGCGATGGGCCACCAAAGGATTGGTTCCCATCAAGCCCGTTCTCCATTTGCTGGGCCACGCTACTCTTACAGCAGGACAAGCTGCAGATGTGACTGCGCGCCACGGGTCCTGAGAAGTCGCAGCCGCTGAGGGCTGAGAGTCGGCTTTTGTTGCGTTTGGCATTGGGCATGGCCTGGGGGCCATCGCAGATTTTGAAGATTGCGCCAGGCAAATGATCTCTAAACCAGCCAATCATAGGCTTTTCTTGATTGTGCCCATGTAAGAAAATTAAAGAAATGCATGTTTCTCAGTGGTGGAACCAATAGTCATGGCGGTCTGTTTCTGCGCCTTGCCATTCGGCTTGAACTTAGTAGCAGCGTCTGCCGCGCCTCTGTTCCATAGCTATTTGCTAACAAGATGCTGATTCAGAACGAATTCACTCCAGTGGGTATCAGTAACCTCTGAAGATCCTGATGGACATCGATCTGTCATCAACAAACCTGTTTGTTTCAGGACAAAGTGCGCCGCAGCCAATCCACGCTTGACCCATTCTCCGGGCAAAGGTTCCAGATCAATCTTTTTTCTCTCCATGAGTTTGTTTTCGGAAAGTTTTTCCTATAATCATGTGTCAAATCCTACCACCAGCCATCATAGCCAAGATCATGGAGCCTTTTTGTGGCCATGAGTGGGCCCATTTTCCATATGGAAAACAACATGGGATGGCCATCGTAGGATCCTGGAGGCTCAGCGCGTGTGTGAGAAATAAAACAGCTGCACTGGCCAGCTTGCTGGCCATTTCTCAGGTTCAGCTTGCTGAATCTGAACGTGTGGCTTCAAGACATATTGAATTTTTAATGCCAATCTTGCTGATCTCATTTTGCCCATTTATAATGGTATGCAATTTTTGAGCTTCAGCATGAAGCCAATTTTCCAGAAAGAATTCCTATATACATTTCAACGCATTGTTTTTTATGCGTGAGACAGCTGACTGAGAGCGGCTGACTACCATTTGTAGCGTTGACCTAAGGTCATCGATTTGTCTTTATTCAACCTCCCTGATTTCTCGCACCCGCGTTTGTAAAAAGACAGAGCAATCTGAGCCAGCTTGCTGGCAAAGATTTTGCAACAGCCAACTTGTTGGCATTAAGTTTGTAGCTGCTTGTTAGCCAAGATGTAAGATGACTGAGCCACTGCTGTTACTTCATGTCACAGTCTGTGTCCAAACTAATTTAACAAACCCACAATGAGCACAAATTTTAAACACAATGCAAGCCATTCGGTTTCCACAGGACTTTGCTTGAGTCATTTAGCAATTTGACTCGCTTTTGCGCCATGGCCGGCAGCAAGGATGATTTCTCCGAAGCTGTTCTGATGCAGCGGCTCCGGGTCGCCCTGGATCAAATGGAGCCAACTGCCCTCGACGACAATGTCACAACCTGCGACGCTGAGAAATGAGAACTGGCGCGCAAACAGGTCCACGCCGTCGGAGCCCACGGCTGTCACTGACGAGACCCAGTCTGTTTTGTCGGTTCCGGTCACTCAGATGGAGGCCGGGCAAAGATTGACGAGAGTTTGTTTATCATCATCACCATCATCATCATATTTTAAAGTCATGTGTGTGTAGGGCACTTTCTGTCAGACCCAGAGTACACATCATGAAGTGATTTGTCATGATTTGCCTCAGGATTTCGGAGAGACTGCAACTTTCATCGCAGAGACTATCCTCCCAGAGACTGAAACTTTGCCCGGAGAGACGGCTCCAACTATCATTGATAAAGGCTGCATGACCGAGGAGAATACTGCGGGCATCATTGCTGATATTTTTGCTGACCAGAACAAGGCCACAGTCGAGCAGCGCCAAGAGCCTGCGTCCAGCTCATCATCATCAAATCCAAGGCTGGTGGAGAATCTCGGGCGCCAAGTCATGAAGTTGGAGGCGGAGAAGTCTGCCCTAGCACTTCGACTGACACAAGTTCATTTGAAAGCTGAGGCCGAGAAGTCCGCGCTGGCTGCCCAACTGTCTGGCTTGAGTCAGGCAGCTCAGAAATCGCTGGGCCAAATGCAGGCCATGGCTCACCAGTCGGTGGCCTTTGTGGAGCACGCAGCTCAGGGCGCTGTGGCCCATGAGCGGGCGTTGCGGATTCAAGCTGAGCAGAAGATCCCACCAGCAGATCCGATGGTGGCAAAAGGAGGAAAGAAGTTCGCCCAGCCCAAGTCCTTGGCTGAGTGGAGGGAGAGAGAGCGCCGGGATAGAAAGAATGCCAAAAACGATCGGCGGCGGAAGCGAAAGCGCAAGCCGAAGATGGGTAGGCCCTGCGCGAGAAAAAAGAGGGCGGGTCCTCTGCCAACTTGCTGGCGGGGTGACGGCAGCCAGCTTGCTGGCCTTAGGTTCAGGTCAGCTTGCTGGCCAGTTCTGTGGCCAGTTTGCTGGCTTTTAGTTGTCAGTTTTTTTTTGAGGTTGCCAACCGGTGAGTCCAAGGTTTATGTTGAAAAGTTCAATATCAGGTATTTGAACACAGGCGATAGGAGCAATTAAAAGCTTGACCGCATCCGTTGTCCTTTGCTGTCATTGTGGTTTCATTGAGGTCATCATTCTGACAGATTCCCCCTCGCCACTATGCTCCGGTCCACTACCATTATGATTGGTTATGCTCCGCTACCATCTAATGTTGTTTGCTGCTGCTCCGCTGCTCCGCTACCATGCTCCGGGCCGCTACCATCATGATGTCAGGCTCCGCTGTAATCATTGGCGCAAGATGATGGCTGATAACTTCCGCACTATGAATGATCAGAGGACACCAGAAGTCACAGTCAGTGTTAAACGCATCCTGGATTAAGAATGGCGACGTCGTGATTGTCTGCAAAACAGCCAGCAGGCTAGCAGCAGAATCAGCTTTGAAGTTTCACCAAGATCTGGAGATCTAAAGATAAGAATGTGAAGAGTGACTACTGCAATGACCAGCCCCCAATCAAACTTTGGACACCCACTCAAAAAAAACAAACACCAACTTTATAAGAAAGTTTCTTACAAGCATGCTGATTGCTCCTTCCCAGTCATCACTTGCCATGAGAGTTTCGAAGCGAATCCAGGAGGCCAACCGCATAGGCGCAGCGATCCTATCACGGTTAGGAATGACCTCGGGGTGTGTGAGTTTGAGGTCCGTAAGGCTGACTTGCCCTTGGGGGAGATGGCAGCGCAGCCAATGCCAGTAGTTATGTTTACAACTACCCATCCAGCGCGCTGATTCCTCCACGTAAGTGATATGCAGGGATTGCTGAAGCATGCCGAGCTCCTTGGCATCCGGCTTCCAGTCACACAGGCAGTCCTCTGCTGCGTGGACAAGGTAGTAATGGTGTCTGTCCGGGTCAGCAGTGGCTATCAAGGCAGCCAAGACCCCCTTGGGCATAGCAATAGCTCCCAGCCTTGCCGTGACCTGGCAGGCCATGGACAGCGAATTGCTAAGGCAATCACTGCACCAGTATAGCTACCTGCACTAAATCCATTGACTGTGAAATGAACTGGGGCAGCTTGCTTCACTTGTCGGAAGCAGCTGAGCATCGGCAGGCAGGCGATCAGCTGCAAGGGTTGCAGAGAGAGCAGTTTCCACCAAAGGCCACTGAGGAAGGCCTTGTGTGGGAGTCTTCTATGGGCCGGAAGGAGAAGAGCGGCCTTCAGCACCTCGTTGCGTGCGTTGGTACAATAAAGCAGCCTTTCCAAATCCGATATCTTCCCACCTGTGGCAGGGATCTTGAGTGTGCGAAAAAAAGGGTGGCAACCTCATGAATGCCTGTTGTACAGCCTGCTGCAACTGCAACATGCTCCTCATGGGCAACATCCGCCGGTGAGAGCGATGGACCATACACGTGGCTCTCTCCGACAGGCGGGCACGTGCAGTGGAAGTGCGGTGGGATATTGCCCTCCAAGGCCCCCCCTCCGAGGCTGCCACAGTTAATTTGCAGCACGGGGGGTAGCGGTAGGGCATCATATCCTATCCAGTACTCGTTTTGTTGAGCCACCGTCCACAGGAGGGTATTCCAAGAGAATTCAGCTTGTTGTCTCTGGTACATGGCTTGAAACACTTCTGTGGCGATTTGTTCCAAGGGCATGACCTGATCTTGGAGCTGGTCCAGGAGATCGCGATCATATTCCCCGGGCAAACAAAACTTGTTCTCCAACCGAGGTCCTCTACCCAAACCTACAACCAAGAACCAAACAACACCCAACAGACTTACGCAAAGCCAACCTTTTCACGTTCACCTAAACCAACAAACGACAAGCAACCGACCAACCAAAAAGAATGGTTGAGCGCGAAGTACACTTGGAATGCCTTGGCGCAAGTGTGGAGCGCCCCGTTTGAAGAAGCGCCGGGACTACAATGTTAAGGTTTTTCGTGGCTTTCCGTTGGTCTTTGTGTTTTCTTGGAAGTTCCTCACTCCGATCCAAGTAAAACTTTGTAAAACCCAAACGGGGTGTCGGTACCGCGCATTGTAATAGAGGGCCCGAGCGGTACCGAAGCGGTACCGAGGCGGTACCGCGCATTGTAATAGAGGGCCTGAGCGGTACCGAGGCGGTACCGCGCATTGTAATGGAGGGCCCGAGCGGTACCGAGGCGGTACCGCGCATTGTAATAGAGGGCCCGAGCGGTACCGAGGCGGTACCGCGCATTGTAACAGAGGGCCCGAGCGGCGCCGAGGCGGTACCGCGCATTGTAATAAAGGGCCCGAGCCGTAATGAAGTGGTACCGAGGTGGTATCGCGCACTGTAATAGACGGAAGCCTGGCGTAGCTTGCAACAAACATCAAGGACGCGAGCTCAAAACCTCAACAATAATATCTTTTCAAAACCCCCTCCTTCACAACATGCATCAAACAACGACGTCAAATAAAACGAAACAAGGTTTCCTTGCCATAGTGAACGACCAGAGATGGCTCCTGTGAACATACGCAAACATGACAGGCTCCACGGCGCCAAACCTTCGCTTAACATCTCCCCACCCTTCTTTCCTCTCATCCAAAATTAAGACAGACCACAAAATACGAAGAATGGGTTCACAACGGTTGGTCTCAGGGCGCTAGGTCGACTCACGGCGGATGTCCACCACAAGCTTGTAGCAAACAAAAATGCACCAAGCGTGCAAGGCTTCAATCAGACTGCCGAAAGCAGCTGACCATTGATCCGTAAGCTTGCTTTCGATCAAGAACAAGCCAAACGCTTTCTCCCCAGCAATTCTCAACCCTCACAGGTTTTCCAAACTTTTTGCTCCTTCAAGGGATCGAAAAAAGTGATTTTTCTGGACACCAGTTTGGGGTCCAAAAACCCTAGCAAAAACCGGTCCCGCCACAGAGGGCCTCCCCAGTATGGCATCATATGTATATGTTTGTTCGTGTCACTGTGTGTTTTCTGCTTTCGGAGGAGGAGTGAAGTTTGTGAATGTTTTGAGTTGTACATCATCAGTGCGAGAGAGAGCCCCCTGGTGAGCTCTGGTGGCTTCAAATCAATCTTTGTTTATACAAGAACCATCTAATTATACGAATGCTCTGGATCTCTGCAACATTCTGGGCATGTTTGTGCAATCTTGTCTGCAACCTCCTGGCGTATCCTTTGTGGAACTAACAAATAGTAGTCTAGAATCTTCCAAAGCACACGCCGAAAAAGGGCCTGCCGCAGCCGCATGCGCAGCCGGTTGGCAGACTGGCGGACGCGCTGCTTGCAGTTGCGCGCCGCCAGCCAATGCTCCGTTTCGACCTGCCGTGGAACCCAAACCCCCGTGTAGAGAGTCCGAAGACCACCTTGGACTCTGGAGACCATGGTGAGTTTCCAGCCATGCTAACCAACACTCCAGCCAATTGCAACTGACACTTTGAATTGCCAGCTCTTGTTGGTTTAAGCGCTGAATACAGTGACTCATTCTTGGTGAATGACCAGCCTTGCGTGCTGCGACGCGGTAGGGGTCCGGCTTTCCGCGACGCCTCGGCTTTTGAAGAGTCCGCGCTGCGGTATTCTTCCCAAGACGAATGTCAAACCGACAAAGATCGGATCGGATCCAGGTCGACTGGCATATGAAGCAAATGTGAATCATATATAACTTGGCATATTACAGTATGGCATCATATGTATATGTGTGTGTTTTCTGCTTTCGCAAATAGTAGTCTAGAATCTTCCAAAGCACACGCCGAAAAAGGGCCTGCCGCAGACGCATGCCCAGGAGGTTGGCAGTCTGGCGGACGCGCTGCTCGCAGTTGCGCTGAATACAGTGACTCATTCTTGGTGAATGACCAGCCTTGCGTGCTGCGACGCGGTCGGGGTCCGGCTTTCCGCGACGCCTTGGCTTTTGCTGCAGGTGCGAGAGGCTCTGCGCACTGCGCCTGCCGCGAAACCTACACTTCAGGTTCACCAAGCGTTGCGCCTGCCACGGAATCTACACGGCAGGCACCCGCGGGCCAGCAGCAACCACGCGCGCCGCAGCTGGTCCGGCGCGGCGGGCGCAGAGCGAAAAACAAGGAACCTAGAGACTGCCTCCCCCCTCTCCTCCCTCTCCACCCCTCTTCCGCTTCCGCTTCCGCTTCCGCTTCTCTCTCTCTCTCTGCGTAGCAACGTAGAAGGGTTTCTTCTGTATGAGCGTGCAATTTGCACCGCACGTTAACACCCCGACCCCACCCCACCCCACACTCAGTCGTTCGCATTGCGTAGCAACGTAGAAGGGTTTCTTCTGTATGAGCGTGCAATTTGAACCGAACGTTAACGTGCCATCCGACCAAAACCCTCGGAATCATGGCACAGTTCTGAAGTCGTGATTACAGTGTGTTTTTACATCGACCGATGAAAACACGCGTGGTAATTACGCGTAAATACCGCGCTAAATTCCGCGAACGGATGCTCAAAAAAACGCGCGAATAGCTATGAATGTACATGTGAGTACAAAACACGCACAGTCTTAAGTAAACCCGTCTAATATATAAATATTTATCAAAAGATGACCAATGACAGAACAACCCAAAGACCACGCATATCCAAGACTACCTCCTTGAGCAATCGCATTTATGATCCCCTTGCCTTGAGGTATGCCAAAACCAAGGGCATACCAGTGCCGCAGTGATCATTGGATTGAGAGTGGCCTGAGCTTAGACCACTTCACGGACAACGAGACAAGTCCAGGAGGTGGAGCCCCTTCGAGCAGTGGAGAAGGAGAAGAAGAAGATGATCGCAGTGAAGATCCAATGGAAAGAGTGGGCCAGAATGGGCCGATGGAAGAGAGTGAGGGCCCAGATTTGCCGGCAGAGATGCGCTATTTCCGAATGGATGCAGAGAGCGAGAATGAAGAGAACGAGGACGAGCAAGATGGTGGAGACGCCAATGACCAAAATGGTCGAATTCGGAAGTTTGACGAGGAGAACGGTTTTCAGGACTGAGAGGGAGAGAGACAGAGAGAGAGAGAGAGAGAAAGAGACAGAGAGAGAGAGAGAGAGAGAGAGAAAGAGAAAGAGAAAGAGAAAGAGAAAGAGAAAGAGAAAGAGAAAGAGAAAGAGAAAGAGAAAGAGAAAGAGAAAGAGAAAGAGAAAGAGACAGAGACAGAGACAGAGACAGAGACAGAGAAAGAGACAGAGACAGAGACAGAGAGAGAGAGAGACAGAGAAAGAGAGACAGAGAAAGAGAAAGAAAAAGACAAAGAGAAAGAGAAAGAGAAAGAGAAAGAGAAAGAGAAAGAGAAAGAGAAAGAGAGAGAGACAGAGAAAGAGAAAGAGAAAGAGAAAGAGACAGAGAAAAAGAGAGAGAGAGAGAAAGAGCGAAGCCACTTAGGCTAATTTTCACAAAGATTGGAACAACCAAGAAACTGGTTGTTCCTAGGGCGGGGTGACAAAACTCAGCGTGGCCCCCTGCAGCAAGGATGACACACACATGTGCAGTCAAGAGGAACGGTGTAGTATCTGTTCTTATCAGTGTGTGGCCGCTGTGAATCAGTGGCTCGAGAGCGCTTCAGAAAAGGCGCGATCTGTGAGAGTGAAGGAAGTGCTTGAAAGGGTGGCGATAAAAAGAAACCGACCACCTTTAGGTGGGGTGTTGCGTACTTTTAGACTTGTGGACATGTCATGAGAACATGATTGAGACTTCACTTGCACCGGTCACGACAGTGGCCCAAACTAGCACGCGAAAAGATAATAAGGTGCTCGGGCGCGAGTTGCTACTTCTTCAGGCTCACAGCAGTTTCCAAAATGAGGAACAAAAAGGATTTAGTGAAGGGAACCAGCCACAGACTACAGGCACAATTGGTGATTGGGATTTGCAACGGCCAGCATCCTGCTTGCATTGTGCAAATACCTTACGATGCAAGGATTGTCTTCAAAACCATTTTGACTTTTCTCTGCACCATGGCCATCAACTACGTAAAAGTGCCTTGGCAGCAGAGTGCAACCGAGTTTCCATTTTAGTCAGTCGACGTTGAATCCTGAAGACAAGACACCAAGATATCATATTGCGACGATAGCAATATCAGCAGGCCCAAAATTCATTACAGTAATTTTTTTCCCTCACATTACCTGGAATTTTTTCTACCTCTTGTTACGACATGAAGTCTTTGTTCCATGGCTTCGGAAGGGCCCATCTGGGCCCGGTGTATTGCTCCCGTCACGTTCCGAGGCATCGCACTTGGGTCCCACAGGCAGGGGGTGACCAATGGCAAGCGAATGAATGCCTTCCGCTCGGATGGGCTGCCAGGTCCGGACTGGACCCCGGTGACGTTGAGTGGCGTCCGAGGCTCAGGACGGGTCGAACATCGCAAGGATGCGTGGGCCTCCTTGACGAGCGTGCGGGCATAGCGGAACAGCAGGGAGAATGGACAAACATGCAAGTATTTGGCAGGCTGAAGATATAGTAGTAACAAGAAGCTACTAGGAACAAGTGCATCGCTACTAGTAACAAGTGCCTTAC